GTATTTTCTTTTTCTTGCTAAGATGTACTTAAAACCTTATCATAAGAATATCCATGCTGAAAGAACTTTGAGTCAGACTTCTTTCCAATGCATTGTGAAATGCATGCTGTTTTTTAATGCTCTGTGTTTAATACGGTTAAATAAAGGAGAGAAAAATCTCTAGAAGGTAGACATTTTAGAAAGACTATATAATTCCTTACTTGCCATTTTGGCATAGCTCACTTCCAACTGAACATTAAATACATTATTTAGTACAGGTAATAGTCTACTTTGTAAATAAAACTCAACTTTTCCGACCTCCCAGGCTGACCTATGGCACCTGTGTTGTTTTTCTTCTAAGACAAAAGATGTTACTGTATGAGTTGTTCTTTCTAAACTAACACCTCAGTACTCAGGTGTAACTGCAGTGTTGGCACTTGGGTAATGAGTAGGTGCCTTTTGTGTTGCAGTTGGGACACTTGCCTCTAAAAGGTTCACCATCTCTTCCTTGGGAAACACAGTTTTGTGTAATGGGATGGTTCCATCGGTGGGCTCTGGAATCAGAGTATGGATGGCATGTCTGTCCTGCGTGATCTGAAGAAACTTGCGCATTCTCGAACATCCGATTGTTTCAAGTGTTTCTCAAAAATCAAATGACTCGTTTCTCCTCCTTTAGTTTAAATTGGATTTGTATTGGGGAGCTAGAGTGGTCAAATGCCATTAAATTTCCTGTTAACACTTTTTCTGGGCATTCAACCCTTTGATTTTCAGTCAGAATTCTACTGAGAACTTCACATAGGGGCATGTTTCAATTCACTTGCTTAGCCATCCTTGTGTAGTGGTAAGATGGTGTAGCTTTCAGTACAGAGGTGTATACTTGCCAAGGTAGAATGAGGAGATTACTGGGTTTGTGCAGCTAGAAGTAGCTGGACATGTCTCACATTTTCAGTGTATCCTTTTCTCTTTGAAGTGTGCAAACTATTTCCTTAAAGATGACACCCAGTGCATATCTCTTAGAATAAAATAAAATAAACATTAACTCTTCGTACCTGAGTGGTAACTAGTGTGGCAGTGTTAGGAACAGTGACTGTTTATAGCATATTTCTCTAAATGTTATGCAGATATCCCCCCACCCCCTTTAAATGTATTTGATATCAAGTCTCACTGTGCAGCTCCCCAACACTGGGATTACAGGCATGCACCACCACGCCCCGGTCTCTACCTGCTCAGCCTGCCTGGGGGTGGGACCAGCAGGGCCAGTTGTCCCTGAGCTTGCCTAAGCAGGGGCTTAGTCAGCTGAGCTATCTTGCAGGCCCTCTCTTTCCCATTCTTAAAACTCTAAGATTAGACTTTGTACTGAGCTGGTGGGTGTGGAAAGACATAGAGGTGTGTCTGACCGAACTTCCTGCCTTCCCAGCCCCTCCTCCTCCACCAGCTAGCTGTATCTCCTGCCTCTTTGTACCGCCCCAAGTATCAATATGAATATTGAATAAAAAAACGAACTAGGGCTGAGGAGCACAGAACTGCCCCCACCCCATTTCTTGACTACCCACCTTTTCTAAATGGAAAAAAAATATATAGTATAGATAACAGTGAAAAAGTAGAAACAAGGCAAAAACCTTCAAAGTCAGATGACAAGAAAATCCAATTCATTTCATTCCACCTGAAGGATGTAGTGTGTTTTCCATCTGTTTCCTTTTCTTCTTTTTCCAGCATTATGTGGCTAAGGTATCTGACACACGCTGTCTGTCTAGGTACCAGTGCCTTCTCTCTTCTTGTTTTTGTGATTTCTCCATCTTGTTTCCGAGTAACCTCCAGAGTTTTCATCTCAGTCCACAGACAGGATCATGTCCCCTTTCTCTTCAGAAACATGTTCTTTAGCTTGTCAGTACTTTCTTTCCCATCAGCTTTAACTTTGCAGATTTATTTTCCCAGATCCTCCACTTTCAGACCTAGAGAGAGAAATGTTGGCCCAGTTCCTTGTGATTCTCTGCAAGGGGGGAGGGCTGTGGGTCAGATGTGGGATGAAGCTGTATACAACACCAGGTGGTACAGAGTTCCTAAGCTTCTCTGTTGTCTAGGCATGGAACCCTGCACAGTAAATGTGGTTATTATAACTATTGTAATTCACAGGAAGAAGTTATGTTGAATTTCAGAAATAAATATTGCTAGTTTCCTCTGTGCTTAGAAAGCCTTTTGATGCTATTCTTCATTTGCAAATTTAGCTTGATTTATTCTTTAGGTTCCCTTTACGTAGTTTTAAATTTCTCTTTTAAAGACTAAAATAGAGCTTACGCATTTTTTTCCTGCTCAGTTTGATAGATGCTGGAATTGTTTTTATTGGGCTGCTCAAGGGGTCAAATGTCTAGAAGTTAGGGAAAAAATGTTTCCATGTTCGTCTGAGGAAAGAACTAGTAAGAAGGAAGGTGGTAGTGATTTTTTTCTTTTTTTTCTTTTTTTTTTTTTTTTTTTGTATTTCTGAGACAAGGTTTCACTGTGGAGCTCAGGCTGGCCTTGAACTCACTTTGTAGCTCAGGCTAGCCTCGAACTCACAATGATCCTCCCGCCTCAGCCTCCCAGGTGCTAGCATTATAGACACATACCACTGTGCCCTGCTGGAGATGACTTCTTAACTGTGGATTCAGTGTGCTGGGTTTGTAGCCATTTCTCTTTGTTGGCATAATGAGGTTGATGCTTTATTAACAGGGGTTAGCAATTTTTTTTTTTAATAAGGGGCCATATGACAAATATATGGCCTTTTTTTTTTTTTTTGCGGAACCGGGGATTGAACTCAGATCCTTGCGTTTGCCAGTCAAGCGCTTATCCTACTGAGCCATCTCCCCGGCCCCAATATATGGTTTTGTTGTCGTATGGTCTCTGTTGTAGCTACTTACCTCTGCTAGTGTAGTGCAAAAGTTGATGTAGCCAGTGTATAAAAGGATGAGTGTGGCTTGTGCCAATAAAACACAACACCGATTTTGTGCCTGTTAGGATTTATTACTTATAAAACAAAAACTCTCCTGATTTGTTAACCTTTCTTTTGATCAATTATTAAATATGCCTACTTCCTCAGTTTTTAACTTTCAGGTGATGCTACCCCTTTTCCTCCCTTTTTGAAAATTGTGTTTACTGAAGGCTGCTCGGTGTGAGATTCCTTGTGGCCCTGACCTGGTTCCTGCTCAGGCCTGTGTAAATGTGCACTGGTGGGAAGAGTCTGTGAGCTGGTGTTGTGGGGAGGCAGCAGGTGAGTGCTTGAAGGCAGGTTAATGAGATCAGAGAATGCTGCTTTTTTTAAAAGCCCGGGTCACAATCATTTCTACATTTGTCATAGTTTAGCAAATCAGCCAGAGTACCACATGCCACATTTGATCTGACCAGGCACCCAGAGAAGTGCCGGGTCTCTGTCTCAAGTGCTGGCTCTTCACCGGTCCTGCGGCTAGCTCCCCATCGTATTGACTTAACTCCATTGTTCACACAAAAATAGAAATCTTAGTCTGCTTTTCCCCTTGGATTGAAGTCAAAGCAAGACATTATGCTTCGTCAAAGACAAAGTGCACTTGGCAGATGAGGTGACATTATTCATGCAGTTGCAGTAAGAAGGTTCGTGAGTGATCAGCTTCTCAAAGAAGAGAAGAATACCAGGTTTTACAGAGCAGTTAAACAGGGAGTCATGGAAAAAGAAGAGTGTGAGTCTTATCTTGAAATATGAGAGGGCATGATGCCTTCCATTTTTCCAGGATCTGAGCACCTTCGTGACTCATCTGTGTTGCAGTCAGCATTAGATTTTCATGTCTCTGTTTCCATGAGGATTTGACTTTACTTGTCCTTGTATCTTACACCAAATACAGTCACTGCTGTGTATTAGTGTACCTGATAGATGTTCTCTGATGCTCTCCACAGTGGGAGGAGTGCATGGGGAGTCTGATCTTTGACTCATGAGCTCTGAAGGAGCAAGCAGAGTTGCTACAGTGTCATGTCCCTTCCTTTTCTGCAACTTAGTCATCCTGAAGCCCTAGGAATTGCGACTGCAGAGGAAGCGTGATTCAGTGCACAATGATTATTTGTTGAATGACCTGGATTCCAGGGACAGATGGATATATCTTGAGTCTCACAGTAGAGTTTTACAGAATTATTTGACGTATTAGGAGCTATTTTCTTTTAGTTATTGACATGTGGGGCCAATTATTTTTTTGAGGTCCAATATTTACAAGTACAGTGATTTCATATATAAAAGTTATAAACTGTCATGTGATTTATATTTTTCAGAATTAAGTTTTAAAATAGGTTCTTGTTATCAGAATTTGGGAATATCCCAAATTATTGAATTAGACTCTTATTTATAATGATGCAGAATAGATTATCCTTCAGATCAATCCTTTATGATAGTCATGTATACTTAAGGAGGGGGTAGAAACTAGTACACTGCTAAGCAAGGTGAGCCTGTGAAATTGTGGAAATTTCCACTATCTGTGACTACAGTAGCTCCAGCAATCCTAAGATAAATGCTTGTCTTGAGTATAGCATTGTAGTCAAAATCCTGCTTGTGAAATTTTGTTTCTGCTAGTCTTCTGTGCTGGTTTATACCTAGATAGATATGCTTGAGGGATTAGTTGGATACTTTTATTCCTCAAATATTCTGTGAAAAATATTTTGTTAATATTGCTTTTCTGAATAGATTATTAGCATTTTTCCTTATTTCACAGTATTTGAACCATTCTGTAGCTTTTTCTGTGTAGTGCTTAGTGGTGCTATTGAATGCGCATTCATCTTTCTAGTTAATGTATTTTTTGGGGTAGTATATTTTAGAATAATGTCAGTTGTAAAACCTCATGGAGTAATGTCTACTGCTGTTGACCCACACAGGGGACATAGCTGCCATCAAAGAGGAGCAAAGAGGAATATCGTTTAGAAGTCTTACTGCTTTTTTTTTTTTTTTTCGTATTCTTTATTGTCAACAATTTAAAACGATCAACATAAGGTCCGGGGAGATAGCTCAGTAGAATAAGAGCATACCTGACAAGTGCAGAGTCCTGAGTTCAATCCCCCCCACAAAAAAATCAACATAAAAAAATAAACATTTCAATAATAAATACTGCTCTTTTGTCTGTAATAAATAAGTTTCTTAACAAGGAGTGCACTTTTCCAGCCACAAGTGTATTAAAAAAATTTTAAAAAAATGTATATGGCCGTAGGTCACAGCTAAGCAGTCTAAAGCAGCACCGATTGCAGCCTTTAAACAAGATGGGAGCTTCCTCCCTTCTCCCTCTCCCCTTCAGGAAGTATATTCACAGTTCCAAGTCCTCTGGCTGAAATGCTCTCAACAGAGAAAAGTTAAGAGTCATTGCACCTTTCTGCGAAATTGTCTGAAAAAATCTTTCACATCAGGTATCTTGAGGGCAACTACTTTATGTTCACTCGTGGACTGTCCCAAGTCAAGACCTGCATTCCTGTGCCTGTTCTGGTTCCACCCAGTTCAGTGGGCCCTAGAGAGATTCTTTTTGTACCACCAGCTGTCTGTCTTCTTCAACATGCTCTAGGTCACTCAGCTGGCTTCCCTGTTGATTTCGCAGTGGAAAAGAGGAGTCCCATAGGGTCCATTGGAGAAATCTTTCAGTTACCTCTATGTAAAAGCATGTTCAGGGCATATTCCCTTCGATTCTTTAATTCTGATGAACAGCCAGACATGAGTAGAGTTGTCTAATAGTTGTCAATATCCTGTCTTCATTGATGTACATGAGAAAGTATTCTTCGTTTTGGCTTCAGATAATTATTTTTGTATGATCATTGTAGAAATTTACCTGATGGGTGCCATCGTTGAAGAGCATCATTAAGGCTTTATCAGATTTTAGCCACTGAAGGAGATAGAGCTGAGGTCTTCGAATATGTGTAACACCAGGGAGATCACTGCCATCCGTGAGGTTCTCCATGTAGTGGGAAAAGCACTTCAGCACTGTCACTTGACTGATGAATTGTTCAGGGCATCCCTTGAGAACACAGCACTGACCGAGTTCTGTGTAATAGTGAACTGCTTTTTGTCCAGAAGGAGGCTTATGTGAGCTCAGTTGTTGAAAAGGACTCCAACTGTGTGGTCGGAGAGCTGGTAGCCAAAGCCATACTTGTTAAGAGTAGTCAATGCACTTGGTGACCCACTGAAACAATCTGCTCAGCTGCTCCCAGGGAATGGAGTCGGCATCTGGTATATTTTCTAGACATCCTCAAAGGACTCTTGCCGCAATGTTTGCAACGCTTCCCATAGTACTACTTCAAGGCATTCACTGCTGCTGCTGAAGCTGCCAGGCATCCCTCTAACTATCACCTGAATAGCATCGCCAGCCTGCTGCCTGTTTCCTACTGCAGGTGCTCCTGATCTGGCCCCTGTGGTGGCAGGTGGCTGGAGTGCCTCATCTGTCTTAAGTGATGGCTGGGTTATTGAAATCTTTTTCAAACCATGCCTAAGCTTGTAAATTTCTTCATCTTCTTTAGGCACTGTATTGTGTGTATCAGTGTATCTTGCTTTTTCTTTCTTGCCACCAAAAAGAGCAGCAGCAGCTTTCTTAAAAAAATTCTTAGTTGGGCTTGATAAATGAAAATCTGGAACAGTACAACAACAGCTAGAAGAAAGTCTGTGAAGTGAAACCTTGCAAAAAAAAAAAAAAAAAAAGTCATATCGAATGATGTCATCCAAACTAGGCCTATCCTCTGGGTTTGGAGAACGTGCTAGCTATTAAGTACTTAGCAGGAGCCAGTGACAACGATGGCATTGTATACCTTGCTTCTCTTATACACCTGTAAGTCTCTTTCAGATTTGTTGTTTCAAATGAAGGTCTTCCTAGCATCATTGGATACATTACACAGTCGAAGACCCAAATGTCTGATTCACAGCCGTGTCCTTGTTTGTTGAGGAGTTCGGGAGAGAGATAATTTGGGGTACCACATGTTGTTCTTCTGTGTTCCAAAGCTCCAGCCTGGCTGCCAAGCCAAAGTCTCCAACTTTTAATTCCATGGCTTCATTAATAAAAAAGTTCACTAGTTTGAGATCTCTGTGCATGATTTCTTGTTCGTGAAGGTATTTCAGTCCAGACACAATTTGCCTGAGGTAGTATCAGACTTCAGGCTCTGTCACACCTTTCTTCCTTTTACTGTGTGAGCCATTGACTTTCTACTGCAGTATTCCAAGAGAATCTAAATTTTTTTTTTACTACTCCTCAAAGCAGTAGTAAAACTGCAGTACATGTTTATGATGAAGAATTCTGTGGAACTCTTTGTTTATTTGTCAATCTTTTCCCTTTGATGACATTTGCTACTCTGCTGTGAGGAATAATTTTTGTAGTGTACACTTCGTTGTTTGTCAAATCTGTCATTTCATAACATTTTGTAAAATTGTCCTTGGGGCTGCGGGGGGCAGACCAGGCCTCGATGAGGGCGAGAGCTGATCCCTGTGCAGCTGGTGCCCCAGAGCAGTGCGGGGCAGGTGTGGCCCCTCTGCCCACCTTGGCCTGGGTCTGCTCTGTGCAGCATCCCTTCCACCTGGCCGCTGGTGCCTCCTGCAGTCGGTCATCTTTCTCCAAGTCTTGCAGCAGTACTATGTGAAAATTATTTTGTTGTATTGTTCTAAGAGAGAAGAAAAATGAACCATAGAAAACAGCAAGTGAATTGCACAGATCTCCTTGGGACAGTTAGTGGCCAAATTTGGAATTCAAACCCATTTGACTTATTAATTCATGTTCCTAATTGTTACCCTGTAGATTGAGTTTAAGATTTTTCATGTGATGGTAATAATATTACTATTTTATTTTCATACTTAAGATTTGTTTTGTATGTGTTCATTTTATTATAGCTATATAGTTGTGGTTTTTTTTTTTTTTTCATTTCTGGGATCAAACACTGATGCCTATAACTTGAAGGGAGACTTGTTTTTTTCTAATATTTTCAGAGAGTTTAGTCTCTGATCAGCTAGGTCCGTGGCAGAAAATCATGATGGAGGGGCACGATGGGGGTGTGGAGAGCTGCCCAGCTCATGATACTGGGGAAGCAGAGAATGGGGGAAGAGGCCAAGAAGAAGGGGCCAGGAGCTAGGCACAGCCCCAGGTCAGGGCCCACTGACCCACTTGCCCCAGCGAGGCCCACTGCTGAATGGCCCAGCTGGCTATGAACTGTCAGTGGGCAGATCCACTGACGAGGTTATTGCCCTCACAATCCAGTTACATTTTCAGGAGTCTCAGTTCCATCAAACTGACAGCTTACCAGGATTACCCAGGATGTACACTTAGCATATGTCAGTGAAGTAGCTTATGGTAATTTACTCAACAAGAATTTTATTATAGGGATGAGGCTCCAGAGTTGTGAATTAACAGGTTGAGTTTAACCACTTAAATAAAGCTGGCATTGAGATAATTTTCTAATGAAGATTTTTTGAAGTTGACTTATAATGTACCTATTCATGATGTGCAGCATAATTTGATACATGGGAACTGTATGTAAATTACATTGATCAAGTAAGGTAAGTAGCACATCCATGAACTGAAGCATTTGTCATTTCTTTATGTTGCAAACAGTCTAAATCAGTGTTTTAGTTATTGTGAAATAAATAATAAATTATTAGTAACTGTAGCCAACCTACCATGTTATTCAGTGCTAGAACTTAGTCCTTCTGTCCAACCATATTGTCGTGCCTGATAACTAGCTTCAGTCTCCTTCTCTGCTTTCTTTCCTACCCTCTGGTAATGTCTGTTCTATTCTGTGCTTATGTGAGATGAACTATTTTAGGCCCTACTTATGATTGAGACCATGCGCTTAAAAATAACTTAATGTGCACTGTTTTTAAATTAGCACAGGCTCACCCATGTTGCTACAAATAACAGAATTTCCTTCTGCTTTATTGCTGTGTAGTATTCTAGTGTGTATATATTTGACACTCTGTAGTCTTTCATTTATTGATGGACACCTGGATTGATTTCATATCTTTGCTATTGTGAATAGTATGACAATAAACATGGGAATGAAGATCCCTTTACCATGTGGATTCCGTTTTTGAGACTATATTCTCAGTGAGGGGATAGCTGGATCATTTGGTAGATCTAACTTTTGTTTTTCCTTGAACATTTATTTGTACATGGGGACCAAATACAAACAGATGAGAAATTTTTAGTTGTTTTAGAAAATATTTACTCTCTTGAGTAGGCCAAAGTTAATGTTCTAATATTTTTACTCAGACAAGTTAAAAGTGATATAATTATACTAATAAATCGCATTTGATAGATTTATACATAAAGTAAGAACTTCCCAAACCTCTCTTGGAGGGTGTCAGTCCACCCCACTGGGCAGTATGGCACACAGATGCAAAAAAAGTCAGAGAGAAAGTTCTGCAGTTGAGCTTTGGGATGACCCGGTGTTCTCTGTGAGAAAAAAGCCTCCTCTCCAAAAGCTCATGCATGGCTTTTATTGGTATCAGTTAGGGATGTGGGTAGCAGAGTGCCTCGGGAAAGAAACTGTGTAGCCCTGGCCTATAATGTGACACAACACCAGGCACAAAGGCCTTCATTAGCAATGCACAGATAGATTTGATGTGTGCAAGGCTGGCAGCTTTACTGCCAGGAAGGTGCAATTCTTTCTGCGTCCCATGGCTTGGGACAGGGATTGTCTCATGTCTTAGTGCTGGAAGCTCAAAGGCTCCTGCTGGAGCCTCCCTTCCAAGGCTGCTCTCACCTGCATGATGCGGCTTTGCTAGTAATGGGACCACTGGTTCCTCTGCTGGCCTTGAAAACATTCTTTTAGTCAATTAAGGGAACATTTATTTCAGCACAGCCAGCTCTGTGGCATAGACTTCATTTCCTAGAGAGCAGCCTGGCGGTCTCCCACAAGACCTAGACCTTTTGAAGAACGTCTTGTACACTTCATTACCTGTTAATGCATAGTGCTATTCATAATAGCACTACATACATTTGCCTACAAGATGTACATTTAATTGAGTTTTGGCTAATTTACCTATTCAGTTGTCTTAGAAAACTGTCTTTCCAAAGTCAGTTATT